CTATGTGAATCTGAATTTGTCACGTCAGAAGATTAAATCAAAATCACAAAGTTAATAGGCTTTATGTTTACCAGAAAAACTCAATAACCAAGTGTGGCATGAGTTGCCAAAAAAAAAAAAAAATCTTTATCATTTCAATTATTACTTATTAATAAAAGGCTCAACATTTTGTCACAGCTAATTTACTGGTAGCATATACTCAATACCAGCCTTTAGAAATGCTAAATTTTACGTATCTTTAATTGTTCAAGTTCAGGGTTTTGTTTAAACATCTCGAAAATGAGTTCTTGGGCTTTGTTTACACAAGTTAGGGCTGTGTTCAAGTTTTAACTCAAATAGAGAAATTTCAAACTACCCCTTGTCATTTTCATGTTGTCTTTGTCCTCGCTAAACTGTATCCGCCCTCAACTTTTGTAAGTGCAAACAAATCAAATGTCCGGTTGTGTAGAATATGCTGACCAAGAAATTCTGTGTTGATTGAATGTGCAGAAGTACAATATGTTTATGGCACAAATCGGTTGTGCAGCCATTGGTGTTTTGGCATTCACATTATTGGGGCCAGGGTGGCTAGCTCGAAGCACAGCCCTTTCTGCTGCCATGGCTTTCATGATTTATACTCGTTCTGTTCATCCTCCTGGTAAATATCTCTTTTTTATGTTTCATACATAATATATCAACTCCATATTCAAAGCTGATGTGCTAATTATGTATTATGTATGATAGCTGCAAGTCTGCCGTTAGTTTTCATTGATGGAGCTAAGCTGCATCATCTCAACTATTGGTATGCTCTGTTCCCTGGAGCTGCTGCTTGCATTCTTCTATGTTTAATCGTAAGTTTTGCTTCCTCTCTTCATCTTTATTTAACTGCTGAACAGATTTTTCTGACATAAACAATATATTGTTTCCTTATATGGTATTAGACAATTATCACCTAATGAGCTAGTTTTTGAGTTGAGTTTTATCGGCTCTATATTATATTGTCCACGCACCCAATGTCTAATTCTAGGTGGGGGAGGGGTTAGATGTTTCGTATTGATTGAGGAAATATGTTGTTGTCTCCTTATTTGGACAATCTTTACTCATAAACTAATTTTTAGAGCTGAGTTAGATTCAAGGTCTTCACCATTCGCTAGTGTCTCAACTCTGAAGATGAAGTTGGATAAAACCAGTTATTGTTGTGTTCCATTTATGTAACATATCTTTCTTTAAAAAAATATTTAGAACAACCGAACTTTAAACTTTATGTTTAATTCTTAATGACATGATTCTGTAGTCGCATAAATGTCTATAACATATTTTAAACCATAAATCTTAAAAATCTATCTTTCTTTTTTCAATTCCATATCCACTCAAATACCTTACTGTAAAATGGGACGGAAGGATTAATAGTTTGGTGAGTTCAATTTCTGTTTCTAGAATCCGACTGTTAATCAATTCTCTCCTTTTCCAATAATTGCAGCAAGAGATGGTGTGTTACCTAAAAGAGAATGTCAAATTCTGATGTGAAATGCAATGCGTCATATGAGAGCTGTATAAAAGAAAATTGCCTGGTCAAAAGTGAAGGTGCAACAGAGGAATCCACCGTTTCTCCAATAAAGCAATCACGGTCTTTTGATGAAAATGAATATCGTGCATTGTCAAGCGGATAATTCCGGTTTATATATAGTTGTGAATAAGATATGATTCTCATTCAACCCAGAAAAATTAAATATCATATAGCTTTTTCTGGAAATCGTTGTGTCACGGAACTCAATTGATGCTCTTTTCCTATATTTATCAGACTGCAGGTGCCTTTTGGATGGGTGCATCCAAAAAGAATAAGGGGTTTGAAGCAACCAAAAAAAATAAATAAGAAAAATGAATTTTTAGAGTTGCTTGTTGCCTTTTGGATGCGTACGTATCGAATGCACAGAGTTGGAACTAGGATTTGAAATTTATTAATTTGATATTTTAATCATTTTAAGTTATTAGGTTTTAAATTAATTGTTTATACATATTAAATAAATGTTTTAAGCTAAATATAAAATTTTGAATCAAAGTTAGTGACGGCGACACTACACTAGCTCCACCCCTAGGATCAAGAGATCACTTTCTAAACTTGAAAGTTTTGTTTCACTAACAAAAAACAACACCTAGTCATTTTAAACGACAACTGCGCGTCTTTATGTAGGGCCTTAAGTTCAAAGCAAGGAGAACAAATTCGCGGCTGGTTTTTTTTATTTCAAATAATATACTAGTAGTTTTTTTACTATACTTTACACACAAATATGATTTTCCACGAAACAACTCCTTGTGGCAAGTGGTTAACGAATCAATCACAGGGTAAATTTCGTCGGCGGTGCATCATCAAACGGAAAAGTTCAGGTTTAAACTACCACACAATTTATAAGAGTAGCAGTAGTTTGAATTGTGATTTTAAAATTTCACTAAAGATATATATACACTATATTTTGATGACGTGATGTACTTTTCAGCCCTCACGGATATGATATAAGCTATACGCAGGTTATGTGTTAAAAAATAAGTTAAGTAATTGTCACATCGCATCGAGTCGGACTATAATAATCGGGAAGTTTGAAAAGTCTCTAAACATTATTGATTAAAGCAATACTAAATGGAGTTCAGCAATGGGAAAACTGTTTAAACAATGTTCACTAGAGATTTTTTAAAAAGAAATTTCACCTAAAGAAAAGGTAAAGAGACCAAACTTTCGAGCGTGGAGCCAGTGCACTTTTGGACCATACAAGTATAAGCATATATTGGGGTCAGACACCACATATTAATGACAATTGCCACATAAAACGCATAAATACAAATCAGAAAGGACCCATATATGGACACATATTGGAGTTTCTTTAATTTGCCTGGTGGAGTTGTCATGAAAGTTGATTGATGTAGTGGTTTTGTGCTAAGCACGTTTAACCTTACAAGTTACGACCATCTTGACAACGACTTCGTTAGCTTTGTTCCTGTTGAGATGCGAACAAAGTACACGTTGATAACCGAAAAGATTAAGGGCTAATATTTAAAATGTAAGAATCTTTAAATAGTGTGTGATTTTTTTTGGGAAAAATCATGCGAGCTTTGCCCAAAGCAGATAACATGTTTAGTCCAACAGTTCTTACACGCGTTGCTTTTGAACTCGGCCACTTCATTTTTTTCCTCAAGTATAAAAAGGCTTTTGTCGATAATTTTAATAATTATTGACATTTTCTTGAAAGAACATGTTCAAATAAGTATTAAGTATTAACATGTTCATTTTAATAATTTTCACTGGTGTTTGTTTAGTATTAAGTATTTACAGGATTTGAGAAACTTATTGATTTTCTTAAACCTGTTTTTTTTTGGTACAAAAACTCTATTAACAAGCAACTTCTACAAAGATTTCTTTTTGCAAACTCATATTTTTGCAAATACTTAAACAAACACCACTCTAAGTATTTTAAGAACCTTTTTGGAAAAGTTTGCTTGTTCAAAAGAGACCTTAAGGGCTTTTTAAACGTTCAAAGGTAAAAGGATTTCTTTTCTTGATATTCTTGAGTTTATTACGACATCCTGTATCGGAGAAGCAAAATATATAGAGACTAATTAGCTAATAAAATACTTCTCCCCTTTAGCTCAACTACCTAAGGTAAGTGCTTATTAGCCACAAATTTATTTAATTTATAAGTGATAGATCAGTTTACGTAGTTCAACTTGACCTTGTGGTGATAAACCTACTCAGTACCTTTAGAAAAAGATGATAAACTACTCATCAAACACATACTTTAGGAGTATTTATGTACAAACATTGTATTTTCTAAATATTAACTCTAATAATTTAATTCTCCTTAATGACTTGGTAGTATACTAGTAGTTGTCATACTTGCTTATGTTAGCATTCTTTAAAAAATGGTTGTAATATTTTAGAGTTCATTTATTATTAAATGGTAAGCATCATCAACTTTTATCTCAAATTCTGCCAAACGTCTTTTTTTGTTTTTGTTAATAGGATCGTCAGAATAGTGTATTTGCATACTATTGGCATGAGATGACCTTAAATACATTAATGTGATCGGTGAGAATTTATATACATGATCCCAGCTTGTTTGAGATTGAAGTATTGTAATAATAATTGTTGTTGTTAGTAGGAATACACCTATGTACAAGTTTATTTATATTAAAGACAGCTAACCAAACCAAGCGTACTGCGTACTTGTGCCTACGCAAGATATGTTTAAAAAAAGGGTAGCCCGGTGCACTAAACTTACGCTATACATGGGGTTCGAGTAAGGGCTGGATCACTAAAATCTATTATATGCCGCCTTTACCTTGTTCTTTTGTACTGTTTGTTGGTGAAACAGTTTTGTCTGTTCGACGAGGTAGAGATAGAGCTTTTCTGTATGCCAAAGGTTCATTATTCGGGAAGTCTGTCCAAAAACATTAGTCAATTTTGTTGAATAAATAGGACAAGCGTGGCATATTAATGTGCTAAGATCCAAATGACAATGATCCTTTTAGATTTCACGAATTAGGGACCCTACTGTTTGACAAATTTGCCTTTGATCAATCTCCTTATGAGTAAATAGTACTAGTAGTAATATCCACCAAACTGCTGTTGCTTGATGTTTCATCGCACTTATCCACTGATCCCTTCTGACTTATGTCTTATCATCTCTTTCAACCCCTTGTTTCCAAAAAAATTGCAGTACATAGAAAACAGAAAAAGAAGAAAGGAATTCAGTAACAAAATATATTCTTAGTAGCACTGAACATCATCTTCTGTTGCATGTAATGCTGCGGACTCTCCAAAATGTTGCTTCACTCATATCCTTAAAAAATGCACTACTTTTGGAGGATCCGACACGTACGCGACGGCATTTTCGGAGAATCCGACCAATATAGGTTGCGTGTTTACGGAATGGGTTATGGTATAATTGAACCGTGACCACTCCTTTTGTCAAAATAGTGTCTCCCATTTTGGAATTTCAGAAATGCATCTTCTAGTTGACAAAGAAAAGTCAGATTTCACAAATGGCATTGATGATTGAACAACATGAAGCACCAGCTACATATACCAACAGGTTTACAAATTAAGCGCAATAGCCATAGTTCCCAACTGTTCTGTGACTAGAACCCATCACCTCATTTGGATTCTGGTCCCATAAAAGAGGACTTTATTTATTACAGAAAATATACTGCCATGGATTGTCTCCAAATATACACAACTGAGACATTACTAAACACATAAAATAGTACTATTCCGCATTGCTACATACAACCATGAAACTCAATAGGACCAGAAGCCAAAACCTTGGTCTTCAACTGGAAATCCGAAGTAGCTTACATTTGAGGATGTCACGCGATAATCATCATCCTCGGCTTTTGCAAGCAAGTTGGCCGTAGAGAGCATAGTCTTATTGAATTTTTCTTCATCATCTTGAGATAAATCGGGCGGTTCAGGTTCAAATACATAAGAAGAATCCCCCTGCTCTATGAAAGAGGAATGCACCCCATCAGTGTAATGTGGGCTTTCTGAGTCTAAGATATCGCTCTTACCAGAGCTTAGATCTTCCTGCTGCTGCTTAAGAACCTGAGCTGACACATTGGACATTTTAACCCTTGAAATAGGATCAGCCATGGTTTCTTTTGGCGATGCATCGGAGTGTTTCTGGAAGTCGGGTAGAGTCAATTGCCCGTTTTTTCTCTCTTTGAGAAGCAGCTTATCAGTGAGCTGGAAAACCTGAATAAGGATTGAACCATAAGCATAGTCCACGAGCTCAAGAAAAGAAAATACAGTAACATTTAATTATCCCTATGATGCAAATAAAATCAAGCTTGTAATATAAAGTTTAAAGCTCATTACCTCAGCTCTAAGATTTTCCTTTTCCTTGAGAAGATTATTGTAATCTGATTTCAGATTGTCATATTGATTCCTTAATGCTTCATATTCTTTCTCGAGCTGTTTAGTCTTCCATCGTGCGCGACGATTCTGAAACCATATTGCAATTTGGCGAGGCTGCAGACCAAGTTCTTTAGCAAGCTGGACTTTTCTTTCTGGTTCCAGTTTGCTCTCTTCCCCAAAACTCTTCTCAAGAAACTGAACTTGGTTTTCTGTAAGTCGCCTCTTCTTCTCTGCTTGATGAAAATACTCTCCCAATTCATCAGCTTCATTCTCTTCTTGATCGAATGAGTCAAAGAATGACCTCTTCCCTCCATTAACACGGCCGAAACTGACCATAGAACTGGATCCTGAAATGATAAAATGGCCACAGAACAAAATTCAATCGCTGAATCCATTTCACACTAGTCTGAAATTTTGAACACAACTGTAATTTCTGTGTACAACTAATTGCACTTCTTTTCTTTCTTTCCATTATAATTTGCTATACAAATTCAGTTTCATCACTTGATATGTTAACTTCTATCTTACCTAATCCAATCTTAGAGCCAGTAAACCAAATGGCGCACACATGATCAAACACCAAAAATGATAACTAGTTATCCCAACAGAGCCATTCAGTTCTATATATTGCAGGGGAATTATCACAATCTCATTTGAAGAATTAAGATTCATATTTATACCAAAATTAACCAAATACAGAAATTCATCTTCTTCTGCAAGAATTCGATTCACGAATATACTGATTTGTCACAGACTAGCCCAAAAGATGGAACCTTTAACATATAATCACAGCACTCATCAAGCACACAGAACCATCTATTTATGGATTAACCCTCAAACTAAAAGTATAAAAAAGAAGAGATTTTTCTTCTATTTATCGATTGCATGGTAGCTAGGGGGAATTGGCAATATGTGATCGTTCTGGCACAGTGACTTTTTTATTATGTAAAATACAAATCTAGAAGAGGGAAAAAAAGTCAACGCTACTTGAGAAAGAACAAAAATAAGCAGTAGGAAAAGATACACATACCCAAATAAGAAGAAGAAGAAGAGCCGGGGACAAATAGAGAACCAAGATGCTCTTTTGCAGTAGTAGTAGAAGAAGAAGACATAACCCTCTGTTTCTGAATCAAAACACCGTCGAAATTAAAAGCACCAGACCCACCACTGTAGAGCATCCCTGGAGCCATCATAGCTGCGAATTATGTAATATTACGAAGCTGAGATATTCAAGAAACAGCCATAGGCGTGTTCCCTTTATGTATCTGGGGTTCCTGATATCACTGCCACCCCTTTAATCTTGGACAGCAATATATAAGGTTTGATGAGAAAGAATAGTGATCTAGAGCTTATGACGAAAGAAGCTGGTGATAATAATTTCGGTGATGTGGGAAGTGTGAGAGCACCTGCTGCTGATCACCATCAACATCATCACCCTTGTTAACAAGGATTAATACTACTATAAACACACAGACAGAGAGAGAAAACTGGCAAGTCTCTGTTTTCTTCTTCTTCTCGGGAATAAAGCAGAGGAAGGAGGGTGTTGGATTGGAGCAGAGAAGAGATGTGAATAAAAGAGAGAATTTAGATGATGACAAGAGTGTATGAGTTAAGCCACCAAGCGTTTCATTTAATTTGTTCCTCTTCTCTCTGGAAGAAGACTACTTAGCTTCTCTTTGAGGGGCTTTTAACGACACGACATTACTTATTTAGCTTCTCCCTGCTCCCACCAAGTCAAATAAATACATACTCCTATTGTATTTTTAAATAATCTTTATCGTTTAATCACATATTATACTTTTTCTGCTCCAAATTATATGTCTTGCTTTCTTTTCTACTTTTTTTTGGTTTCCCACCCGGTGTCACGTACTCACATTGGAGCCCGAAGCGCTCCCTACCAAGGATTTTTCCATACTCAAGGCTCGAACCCGAGACCTCTGATTAAGGGAAGATCAGTCTCATCCACTGCACTACATACTTTGATGGTCTTTCTGTTATACTTTATTTCAAAAAGAATATTTCCTAACTTTTTAACTCAAAAATTCCACGTAACATATTTAAGATCACAATATTTCAAAGCATTTGATATATTATAAATATTTTTAATTTAATACCATAAAATTTAAAAATCTTTCTTATTTTTCGTAAATTTCATATGCCGTCAAAATAAGATACATAAATTTAAATTGAGGGAATAAAAACTTATACTAGTATTTTAATTTTACGCAGTACTTGAGAGTTAGTTGATTTTGGTACCAACAGTACAAATAAATTTATTTGACCTGTAACTAGAGTAAAGCCGTAGAATGCCAAACAAGATTCTGTATATTGTAGTGCACAGTGAGATTAACAGAAAGGAAAAATGAGAATAACGATGAGTAAAATGAAAAAACAAAAACAATTAATAAACCTGTTTTGAATGAAAGAAAGTGGAGAGGAGAGTGTTGGGCTAAAATGACCCAAAAAAATTGTTAACATAATATGATATTGTCCGCACTTATATCAAGTATGTACGATTTTTTTTTAAAAATCTCATACCATTAAAAATATTTAACACTTTTCATGCGAGATTTTGTTCTCGCACACCCAATAATCTTACTAAAGCCAAGGATATACTCTTAGAAAAACTTACACAAACGTCCCAAATAAGTCTCAACTTACCAACCTCTAGCCATTAGTCATAGACTTACCAAAACTAGCCAAACACATAAAAATTGAAAAATCAAATAAAGAAGGTTCTTTCTCTCAAAGAATCACATGCAAAAATCACCTTCCATATTTTTATGCACGATTAGCAACATTAGATGTAAGACGGAAAAGAAATTTCATGGATGAGTTAGCAAAAAAAGTGATGAAATACAAAAAATATGTATATACAATATTCCAAAAAACTAAGCAAAAAAGAAACTTTTTCAATGGGTATAGTTGAAATTCATTCAAAACATATAGACAAGTCAATATACAAAATTTGAGGAAGATTGGAGGTGAATTGGACTAGTTTTGTATCAAAATTCGTAATTAAATCGAGTTAAAAAAATTCTTTTGTTACACATGTATCAAACATGTATCACAGATATATCTCATACACAGGTATACATAAATATACATGTGATACACAATTGATACAAATATGATACATCTGTGATAGACAAATGATACACAGTGTGATACACATAACATTTTTTTTTCATGTTCAGTTTTTACTTCGAATTTTCAATTCAAACCACCTCAAAACTTAACCAAATCATCCCAAAACTGAGATTCAAGCTCCTTAAGATGTACCCAATCTATTTTAATAATACCCACACAAAAGAAAGCAAAAAAATTGATTTTTTTTTGCTACAAATAGCTAATTGGCTAATATTAGTAATATTTTTTAAATTGGTCAATTTTTGTAATGAACCACTTATAAATGGACATAATTGGTAGTACACAGTGAGATATTATCCGCTTTGGGGTCAAGCCCATATAATTTTTATTAGAAAACCTCACACTATTAAGAGTATTCAATACCTTAAAATCTTTTTTTTTTTCTATTTTTTATATAAGACTTTGTTCACACACATCTGAACAAATAGAAAAGAAAAACCTTTTATTCTCACATTCACTACGCTTATCACTTATGAGGAGGAAAATACGATTTCTGGTTTCTTACCTTTTTCCTTTGTGATTTTTAATTTCATAATATGATATTAGTTTAGTGGATTATTATTTCTAAGATGTCTGTAAAAATATTTCTTCCTATTTGGGGAAGTTATTTTCTTCTATTTGTTCAAATTCTGATAAAAGCTGCCAGGGAGAAAATGGTAAATTCAAATATGGAGAGAGACTCGGATGAAAACGGAGGAGGAGCCCAAAGTCCAAATCAGTCGGTGGGGTGTCGTATGCGACTCTTTTCCCTCACTGAAAAATATGGCTCTTTCCCATTGCCCTTTGGACCTTTTTCTATAACTAATTTCTTTTTCTTTTCTTTTTTTATAAAATAAAGGCCCCAGTTCCTGAAATTTTTTAGGGATCTTTATACAAATAGCCGACCGAATTTAATGTCTACTTTTTCTAATCGGTATATACAAATTATATATTAATTATACATAAGACATACATAATTTGGAAGTTTTGGCTATAGTTTAAAACATTGCATAGTTATATTATTCCATTGTTTTTAAGGTATTTTTACCTTCCTATACTATGAGGGTGTTTGCCTAAGCTTATAAGCTAGTCAAACTAACTTATAAGCATTTTTTGACTTATCTACGCGTTTGATAAAGTTAAAAGTGCTTATAAGTAAAAAATAAGTCATAAGCTGGTCACCCACAACTTATGAATTTTTAGCTTATAAGCACTTTAAGTTTGACCAAGATTTTTATTATTTTATCCTTAAAATATTCTTTTTTAGAACAAAACTCTTACATAGATACTCACTGCCTCAAGTATTGTTTCAACCTCCCCCCAAACCCCCCTCATGTCTGCAATTCTCATTAACTATTTAAGTTAAGCAGATTCTCTATTCCTTTGCATATTTGTATCTATGTGATTGTATATTAATCTTTGAACTGTAAGTAATAAAAGAGGATATATCAATTTTTTGGTGCATTGCTTTCTAAGTGTTGTGCTGATGAAGACAGTATTTGTTTCTCTTCAAATATTTTGTCCTATTTAGGTTTAGTTTTTACTCAGAAACTTTTGCCAATTTATTAATTAGTGTGGCTTATAATTATATGCTTATCATAAAATAAATTATATTTATCATAAAAAGTTATCTTATCTAAGCACAATTGTATTTAAAATAAAATGACAAATAAAATATTTTGTATTTGGAATCTAAAATTTTGAAGAAATTACGCCTTTATAAGTGTAAACATTTCAAAGGTTATTTAAGTCATTTTAATATAAAAAGATCTTATTAACATTTTTTTATCAAATACTGCAGCAACTTATTGTCAATTTCAGCACTTGTATCCTAATACACAACTGCTTATGCATTAAATTAGTTTCATCACTTAAAAGTGCTTTTTAGCACCTAATGCTTATCAGCTACTTCAAATAAGCTAATCCAAACAGGCTCTATATATGAAACTTTATTATCCCCCCTAATCAAGTTTTAACTTAATTACATGGGCATATATATAATTTACCAATTATATACAAATTAGTTTTAAATGAGTATCCCTTTATATTAGGAATTAAATACGGAATCCCATCCCTGCTCTCTCTCTCTCTCTCTCTCTCTCTCTCCCTTCTCTGCTCTTTCCCTAATTTTCTTCCTTCGTTTTTATTTGCTTTTCATCTTCTTCTTTTTTCCAGGAAATTCATCAATGAATTTCAATTGTTAAAATATAGAGTTTTAACTTAGCAATTTCCTTTCATATTGCATAATTGATGTTCGAATTGAAATTGTCAATCAATAAATTTTAAAGGTATTTAATTCTCCACCATTTACAACCATTAAAAATCCCCAAAGCTTTGAATTCGAATTTGGGTTATCAAAAATTATTGTTTGTTCAGATTGGGTATTGTTGTGAACACGTAATTTTTGCCCTACGAGAACTACTCCCAAAAATTCAAATAAAATGGTTTTGTGTTGTTTGTGATTTATTTGTATTTTGTCTGTGCATGTTTATTTCTACTTTAATTAAGAAAAATACAAAAATATGTGTTGCATGTGCATTTAGGATTTAATTTTACAATTAGAAATTAATTAAACAATATTTGGATTTGCGAGAATGAAAATCACAAAAATATGTACTTTACATTTTTTGGCGTTTAATGTCAAATTGTGTGGTTTTATTTTAATTGGTAATTAATTGTGTGTGATGATTGTTATCAGGAATTAATTGGTATTTTTAATTTTGTTTATAATTTAAGTTAGGATTTTAGTTTTGAAAAATAAATTAAAAAAGGGAAATAAAAGAAAAGAGGAAAAATGAAAAAAAGAAGGAAAAGAAATCGACCAGGCCCAAAAAACCAGCCCAATTCGACACCCCTGTACCCGGTCCAGTCGATCTGGCAAAACGACCGCTCAAACGGCGTCGTTTCTGTCATGCTCAATCTGGATCGTTGATCTCACTTGATCAAAGGTCCAGATCACCCCTCCCTTAACCCGTTCCTGACCCGTTCTCTATACCCGGTTTAACTCGACCCCATCACTAAACCAAACGACACCGTATTTGGTAAGCTCCCTGATCCTAGCCGTTGATCTTAATTGATCTAACGGCCAGGACTAAATCTCCCACATAGTATATATTCCTAAGTCCTACCCCACGCCCCCCAAGTCATACCCCCCCCTTCGCCTTCATCTCTAACCTAGAGACAGGCCCAACACCCTCCGCTTTCAACCACCGTGCTCCGCCCACCGGAAATCGCCTCACAGCGGTTCCGGTGGTCCAAACGACCCCAAAATTATACCACAGCCTCCCCACGACATCCTCTTTCCAAATCCTGAATCAGTTTTCTTCGAATCAGTACTAGACGCTTCGAATCTTCAATCGAAGATTCGAGCAAAACCCTAGCTTACCCAATAACCCCCAAACTCACACCCTGTGATCTCCTGGACCCCCTCACCATGAATCCTTGATCAATTCTTTTCAAACCATCGTGGGGCAGCTCAGATTCCAGATCGAAGTTAGGCAGGCCAGGTTCCACGAATTTTGAGTCAGAGATTGACTTTAGCCATGCTGTTTTCCTTCGAAAACACATGGTTAAAGTCCGTCTC